CGGAAGGAAGTCAGTTTATGACGCAGGATGGTACTCTTTACCGCCCCGAAATTGAACACCAACGCATTCAAAGTGCCTGTGAAACCTTAGAAGAGTGTATGGATTGTCAGCGCCTCGACAACCATGTTTCGACTACCTTTTTTTGTGTCCCAAAAGATGTGCATTGCGTGCATTGCGTGCGAAAATACATCTCTATTTTCTTTGTGTTCCAAAAGAGTGCATTGCTAGTGTGTCGTGGTTTGCGACGCTTCCCAAAAGTAGGGTTTGCGCTTGGCAAGAGGAACGATTTGTTTCCCTTGCAGGCCTATGCGCAATGGTGCTGCTACGTAGCCTGGAATTCGAATGTTGCCTATTGTTTCCTGCGCTCTATACAAACCTCCCAGGACGTCCAAAAGGATTTCTATCGTGCGCTGTTTTCCCAACATGTAGCCGGCTATGCCTATGGCTATGTACAAATACATGTCTATATCCTATGGATCCATGGAACACCCCCTATGGATCCACATGCCCAAACCCTGTCTACATATGTATATGGCTACACCCAAAATACTATCCGAGGAAGAAATCGCAGGATTGTTGGAAGATCGAAGAAATGGAATAGGGCTGCAAAAGGTAGCCAAAAAGTATGGTGTGGGTATTCCCAAGATACGCAGGATAGAGCGAGAGAATGGTCTGGAGGTAGCAATACCCGAAAAACCACCTACTACAGACCTGCAAAAGCATTTTCTGGAAGTGCAGGATTCTTTTGCTATCGTTTTGGACGACCTGCAGAAAGCCAGGGACGAACTCCGAGCTACGAAAGGAGAATTGCTGGACGACCTACAGAAACTTCGCGAAGAGTTCCTGGCCAGCGACCTAGAAGACGAGTCTGGCGACGACCTAGAAGACGAAGTGGAGGAAATATCCACAAAAATAGACTGGCAAATAGCCGGCAATGTGCTATTCGCCGTCTTGGGCATTGGTGCATTGTTTTGGGCGCGTACGCAGCAACCAGTGGAAAAGGTTGTCTACTACGAACGCCCGGCGCCTAGACAGCTACCAAAGCCTTCTAGGATTCCGGAGATGGAGTAGAAACATGCACTATTCTATCCTTCCTTTTGTTGGCAGTGGTCTTTTCCCTGCCTATTTTGCAATATAGTGGCGGCGGTTGCGCCCAGTCTATTTTTTGCGCCTGCAGGAAGTGTCCCCAGACGGGCGTGGTTGCGTGCTCCGCCGTGCAGCCCTCCAATACGCACTCAGAGCATCGGGGGGACAGAAATAGAATGGTCCTTTCTTTTCCCCTGTAGGTGGTTTTTGCGTAGCGCCAGCATTGGTATTCGCCCGGCTGCATGCGCAGCGCCTGCACGCATTCTTTCTTCGGCGGCGCCCCCACTTCTAGTAGCCGCTGGGGATTCTTGGGTATCGCGTAGTCTATTTTTCCCACCAATTCGTGGTAGGTGTCCAAACCAGGGCCTTCTGGTACGAAGATGCTGGCTATGTTGTTCTGCCACTCCAACAGCACTTCTTCCCCTGGGACCGCCGTATGCACGTAGCCCTCGTTTCGGAACTTTCCTACCGCAAATGCGTCCAGCATTGCCGTTGTTGCCCAAGCCACTGACGCTTCTTTGCCGCGGCGTAGGGCTACGCGGTGTCCTTTCGCAGGCCAATCGGGGTCTTTGTTCCTTGGCTCTGCATAGCCCAGTATTTTGTAGTCGCCTGCGGGAATTTCGTCCATCCTATGCACCTTTGCACCCCCGAAGAACAATTCGTGCAAATTCTCGGCACGCCTGCGAATCCTATCCAACAGCTTTTCGTACTTCTGCATCTCTTCTTCTATCTTTCGCCTGTCTTCTTCTTTTTGCCGCAGGATGTTTTGCCGCTGCTCCTGCAGCTCCGCGTGGTATCTTTTCGTGGCTTCTACCCACTCGTCGCCTTCCAAATCGTCCCGTATGTCTTCCAATCGCTGCTGCCGTTTTCGCTTGGATAGGAAGGATATCCTCCTATCCGTAGGCACTTCCAGGAGGCCAAAGGCACTCTTTTCCACGCCCAAACGCTGCGCCTTCTTGGTACGCCATATCCACTCCACGTGTTCCGTTGCAGGCAGAAAGTCTGCTATCGTAGGTGCSTTTGCATGCACGCGCGTAGGGAACTTGGACTCCGCTAGCACCGTAGGGGCATCTTTGGTGTAGCAGCGCAGCGGTARTATTTCCACCGGATCCAATTCTCCTACGTCTATGCGAAATATGGGGCATCTGCGCAAGCCGAACTCTGCTATGGTCCAAAGTACGCACTGTTCCCATTTGTCGYTGCCCCGCACTCGCACRCCWGCTATTCTACCCGTTCCTGCGTGGCAGTACCAAGCAAGGAATATTTCTCCCGTCTCTTCGCAGCAAATGCAGCAGCATCTGTCCAAATGTTCCGCAAGTGCCAACCACATGTTCTTTGGCGGCTGYACYACGAATATGTCTTCTAGCGGCGCTATGGTTTCCACGATAGCATTGGTGTGTTCTTTGGAGAAATCCCTGCTGTAGATGGATATTTCCACGCGCGTACATCCTCTTTTCTGCACGTCGGGATRTAGGAAAGTCCTACGCAAATGGTCGTTGGGGCAATCCACATACTCGGCCAGCTTTGCGCCTACGGGGTTTTGCACTTCTCCGGCTTCGAAGTTCGACACTACTTTGTTGTATATTTTCGTCCGTTTGCCCTTTTCCACCCAGGTACAAACGTGGTTGCCTACTTGGTGCGTATTGTCCAAGATGGTGCCTTCGCGCCAACCAGCTTCCCCCTGCTCTTTGTAGCCCATTTGCCGCAGGCGGCGCACCAAAGCTTTCCTGTCCAAAGTACCAGAGAAATCCTGCGTGTAGTCCACGGAATAGATTCCATATCCGTGCGATTGTAGCAAAGTAGCAAACTTGGCAATGCTTTTGTCTACGACTTCTATGGACAATTCGGAGGTGTCTACTTTGGCTACGAAGGTGGCTGCGTGTTCGCCGTGCAGGCTGTTCCACTTGTTGGACAAATGGGCCACGCGGTCTACTATGTTTCCTTTTTTGCATGTGTGCGCCATGCTGGTCGGCAGGAATACCCCAAACGCTTCCGTGGCCGCAGTGGATATTTTGGATACTATTGCCTTCGCATTTCTGCACACCCGCCCATACAAGTCTTGTTCTGCGACGAAACCATACACGAACACGTCGTCTACGAACGGCGGCAATCCTTCCAAGGGCTGCAAACTCGTGGGGCCTTCGTTGTTGCGTAGGTAGTCGCATTTGGATATGTCTGGAAGCAGGTTTCCATCGTGGGCATTGTCCAGCAGCAAATGCGCTAGCAGCCTACTCTTCGCACGTATTCCCATCTCTTGCAATGTTGTCGAAATAGTCTTTTGGGAGTCCATCTCTATATATAGAGGGAGAAGCAAATACTACGAATGTGGTCCTGGTTGGACAACCATACGAAGGGGCTACAACCACTACTTTTGGGATGCACAAAAAATGCCCACCCCAGTAGACAACTTTGGGTGGGCAGATCGTCGTACTAGCAGACGCAGCTTGGCCACGCACGCTCCGCGCCACAGCGGTCGCAACATTCTATTTCTAGGGGCACGAGCTCTTTGGGTGGTTCCATATATACGCCCATTCCCACCATATGGCGTACCCTACTTTTGGGAACACGCAAAGACACTCTTCCGTGGGCTTTGCAAGCATACCGAATCGGTATGTACATCTTTTGGAACACAAAAAAGGCAGTCGAGGCGCATGCAAAAACCACAATAGGAATCTTTTGGGACACAAAAAAAGGTAGTCGAAACATGGTTGTCGAGGCGCGGACAAACGATACACTCTTCTAAGGTCTTAGACAAATTATGCAAAAGTCGTTAACATACTTCTTACATTCGTGCATCGTATATTTATAAGATATTTTTACCTCCGTTTGCGGTACCCAAATACAGCAGCAGTAAGGACTTTTCGCGCTGCCACCGGATCGCGCAAGACCCCCTGTAGGGCCTCGTCACTGCGGGTTATACCCGTGTCATTTTTGGGGGTGTGCCGGCGATTCGCGTGTCCCCCTTACTGCTGCTTTTACAGTCAAACGAGTGGGCACAAACTCTCGATTGAAAAATTATTAAGAAAAACACAAACTTTCCTATTTTTGCTGTTGGGACTCCTGTGCTGACAAACAACACAGGAATCCCAGACGATTCAATTGAAGGACTTACAGTAACAACAAAGAAGTAAAACACGTAAACTCTCAAAAAAGTTTTACTTCAAAAGCCAAATGAAAATTTCCAAGAACAAAAATACAAATCCAAGAAAATTGTGAGAGGGGGAGGGATGACGGTTATAAAATGAGTCCTTAGGGTACCCCGGTTGGGCGAGTAATTTGTCTGTTGGTGACGAGTCTTCGCATTTTTCAAATCAATTGGCGCGAGATTCAAGTATCTTATTGTTGACTCAAACTGCGAAAAAATCTCTTGAATGTAGTTTGTAAACTCATGCATTTCCTCGTGGGAATACAGTGAACAAATACTCAATTATGAGTTCAACTCGAAGGACTCCAAGAAGAAAAGCTAAGATTAACGTTTCAAAAGCAACGGAGGAAGAAAGACAGTCGCCTCTTGTCAAGTAAGAAGACTGGAAAATGAATCTTATGTTTACTAAATATTCAGCTTATTTTTGAGGAAATCATTATCATGATGGCTTACTTTTGCAGCTTACTTGATGTAGATAATATAGAATTGTCAAATTAGCTATTTTTTTTTAGTGAAATCACGGTGACTTGTTTAAAAAGCAAGAAGTAGTTATCTTCCTTGAAAGCGGACGACAAGCCAAACGACCAAGGAGGAATCATAAGAATTTCTAACAACTTCATAGCGTTTTAATTTAGTATATCCTTTCTCTTTAACCTATTAGAAAGACAAACTAACTGAATCAGACGATTCTTATCCGTCCTCTAGGAATAAAAGAGGTTCACCAGTCCTTGAACAAGAAACAAATAGTAAACCTAGATTAAGAAATAATGCCATTTCTGGGCCATCGTCTTCGCCAACTACAAGATCGATTAAAAAAAGTTTGTTAGGTTCAAAGAGGGGTAAAATAGATCAAACAGATCACAGAGAAAAAGATAGTCCGACTTCGAAAACTAGGGCTGGAAAAAACGTCCAAACGCCACAAATTAATTTAGACAATCTGGAGACTAGAAGAAAAACTCGTTCGACCCCAAAGACTAAAGAAATAGATCGACCAACGCCTAGGTCACGAAGGACAACGAGAAGAACTAAAGCAGCTATCAGAGAAGAACCAGAAGATGAGTCGTTTGCTATTGATGTTGTGAATACTACTGATGATGTTGTGAAAACTACTGAGGAGAGTGAAGTTATGGCAAGAGCTAGGACTCCTGGCTTTATTGATACCCCAAAACATTTATATGGCAAGTAATTGATCAGTCAACCAGCCATGAAATCAGTCACCCATCCATCCATCCCATTCATCCATCCATCCTTCAATCCATCCATCCATCCATCCTTCCATCCATCCATCCATCC